GCTTTTGGAATACGGGAATACAGTCAAAAACTAACGTAAGTATTGTATGTATAGGTACCTCGTAAGCTACAAGCACTTTTTACCGGAAACTCAGAAGAATAAGAGAATAGAAATATTTTTTTCTTTTCAAATCTGTCACTTTTTCGGATCCTTCAACACAATATTTTGAAAATTTTTTAGAAAATAAAACCTCAACAACGTCGGTAGAATCCATTTGAACTTGGTATATCACCTCATGTTACTGTAAGACAAGTTTTACATTTACACAATACATCACACTCATTTATTTTGGAACTGGAGTTTTGTATTTATTTGAATTAAGTAAGTGCGGTAGATATTTTAAGATGAAACTTTCATAGAATGCTTTCAAAATGTCCTCCTTCTTGTATATGACTCCTTCCTCCGTTCCTGGCTCTAGAAATTACAGCCGATATTCTCCGCTGTAATTCTTATAAGTGGAACACTGGAGTAACATAAACACAGTCTTTCACGTATCCCCCAAACCAAAAACTCTAACGGTGTCAAGTCCGGTGACCGTGGTGGCCAATTAACTGTTGAGATTAGTCTACCCCCATAAACATCACGTTAGTGTTCAGTGATATCTCTAAAATTATGGTGGAAGATACATATTTAATGTCACGGCAAGAAGTAATTCATCTAACGAGTCTTCAATTTCATTTCTTAAGAATTGTAAATATCGTGCACCAGTTAAGGCATATGAAAAAAAAAAACAGGTCCAATAATTCGCCTTCCTATCGCTCGTGCGATTCCGAATCGTTCTTGAAACTGTTCGGGACGAATAATTCTTTGATTATTTAAATGCCTGAATCTGTTGTTCTGTCGGTTAAACACAGCATTATTTGAGAATCGTGACTCGTCAGTGAACAAAATTAAGTTAAGTAAATTATTACACTCGTCATGTTTATCTAACAGAGAATTACAGTATCGAAGTCTTCTTACAAACTCAGCTTCATAAAGATGTTGATGAAGATTATACTTAAAAGAATGATAGTTTTTTTTAAATTCCCCTCACAGATTCTCTTGAGATGTCTAATTCTAATGCCACTTCTCTTAGCGACGCAGCTAGATTTACGTTGAAGTATCCCACAACATTGATTTTCATTTCTTCACTTCTCATTTCTCATTTTCAATTCCAGCGTTATAAAGAAATAATGTACAGGAAGACGACATTCCGGATAGCGGCCTGCATACAATGCACGGGTCTGCCAAAAGTTCTTTCTGCATTCCCCGCATACCAAAAACATATAAACTTTTTCTCCATTTGTAAATTGATTATTGTTTTCCAATAACACGATAAAATCGATAATCAGATAAAAATGTACAAACTGTCAGGATTTTCAATCATGCCGACTTGATGATGAATAGAAAGAAACGCACCTAAGTAACATTTTGTTATTATAAAAATGTATTTACTTATCTGGTTTAATCGTTCCTGTGAGCTTATTTTTTAACGGATTTTCAAAATTTTGGTGTCAAAATGTTGAAAAAAAAGGACCAATTTTTAAATGTTTTTAATCGCACTAGGGTGCTATTTGAAAAAACTAGGTTATCTAAAAAAATTAATTGTTCATTACATTAAATGCTATTTGCCATTAGACAAGTTAAGAAAAGTTTCATTTACAATTTTTTACATGATCAGGTGACCCTGTCAATAGTATTTAGGATGGTCACAGCCTCCTTGACACAATTTTCACAATTAATTAGAAATTAAAAAAAGACAAAAGAAAGTGAGAAAAACCATCCTATCCTACGTTGAGTGATCTCCTGAATCCAAAAATGCAAAAAAATATAGGGTGTGGCATTTAAAGTTCGAAACTTACTCTTGATTTCGTTCAAACCGGAAGTGCAACCATTAACCATTATTTTCAAAAAATTGAACATTCAGCCTATATTAACCCTTCCAAATTTCTAATCGATATCGCAAATCGTTTAACAGGTTATAAAGTGTTCCCACGTTCTTGTTTCACCCGCTAAATTTCAAATTTGTATATAGATTCTTATACTTAAGTCCAGCGGTTTTTGAGGTATTTAATTTAAGCAATGGCAGAGCACCACCTCCAATAGCAATTAAACGGAGATGCTTTTGAACTGACTCTGAAATTTTTAGATCGATTTTTAGATCGAGCTTTAATGTACGACAGTCGCATAAAACAACTAAAATCGAAACGTTTCAAAGCTTCCATTTTGTTAGTTTACATATTTTTATTTCAATATGTTACAGTAACAAATATCAGTGGGAAATCAATTAACACCAGGAATACAAAAGGACCGAAACAAGGGCGTTGTGTATCGCCATCTCTGCTCAAAATATATCTGTATAAAGTGATGAATCCAAGATTACTAAAACTTAAACTATGTCAAGGGTGGCCACACGGAGACACGAAAATACAATAATTAAACGAATGACAAATATCTGGAACTCGTAATTACACAAAAAAGAGAAATTAGTAACCGAAATGGACAAGGCAGGAAAGCTATTGCTGTCAAATCCGAAAGTGTAAGTGTAAGCCCCAAGAACTGTCGAAATCTCCAGAAGAATCATCAGTTAGAGAGGCTATGGGTATTACACACACAGTTATTGACAACATTCCTAACAACCAACTGGTATTGTATGGACGGAAGGACGAATACGACAAGGCAGACTACGAAAGAGCACCAGAGAGAAGTAATAATAAACAGAGAGTGACGTCGAGGAAGACCCATGAAACGGCCGAGAAAGATGGAAAAGGAAGCGTTTTCTTTTTTTACGGAAATAGTTTTTGGGAGTGATTTGTGATGTGGCCAACAGACCTGACAAATGTTAATATACTATCAGTTGCCAAAACCTAACGAAAAAACCCGATTGCTTTCAAACCTGTGGCTAAAACACAGGAAACAAACCCGATGCATTAAAGTGACACTTGATCAGCGCGTTGCTGGGTATTTAAGTATTCTCCTGGGAAATGTAAACGAACTCACCTTTTACATTTCCCTTCAACACTTATTTGGAAAATTTGTGTCAAGACATCTTCGGACTCTCTGAAAGTGATGCTGCCGTAAAAGACCTTTCGATTGGTGGTAAATTTCAAGAACTCCTTTTCTTCGCTCGCCTTAAGTTGAAATCACCTTTAAACATCGAAAAATAGAATTTTCTTGTCTTGCCTTGGTATCGGTTGAAATCAACTTTAAACACGGTAGAGCAAAATTCATTAATTGATATATAAAATATTTTTTAAGTTTACTCCTCATAAATCTGAGATACGTTTCCATAAAGCTTTTGAGTTATGAGAAAATAACCTGAGGCAGGCCGCGCAGTATAGGAGGAGCGAATTGGTGACAATAATATAAAACCGAAAATTGCAATAAATATACAATGCTACATGTAATTTGTAATCACAATCAATTCGTAACAAATAATTAATAAAAAAATAGGTAAAAAAATAAGACGCAGGGGAAACAAAGCCAAACACTTAATTCGACTAGAACTAATGCTCTCCAGTTTCAGGCGATCCATTTTAGAGTTGAAAGTTATGCTCTTTACATCACATCTACAAAAAAAGACAAATGTTTCAGGCCTTGGTACGTTACTTATTGTTATTCTATAAAGTGCCCACATTAATTAGCTTTTAAAAAGCAACGCCATTATATTTTCTGGAATATGGATAAGTGGCATAAATCTGGTGATTTTTTGGCTAGTTTTAGGATATAATTGGAGAAAGGTGTAAAAGTCAATGACAATATTTCAACTTCGTAATATTCTTTTATTACAAACAACGTACATAATATGTTTTGCTTTATTATTTGCTTTATAAAATAGTTGTATGGCTGGTTTTATGTAAATATTATTTTTTATCTTTATGGGTATGTGTGTATCACTAGGTCTACCGTAGAAGATTGATATGAATCGGGCAATTATAATTTTGGAAGCCATTGCTTTAAAAATTATTACGTATATGCTGCGGATTAATCATCAATTAATAAGCTCATAGTTCTGTTGTCCTCCAACGCAAGTGTATTGCTTTAATTTGATTTTTGCAAAAATACAATTTGAAGTAATTAATTTATACTTGCCGGTTGAGTAATAGTATTTTTTCCACTCCGATCTGTAAAATGCCTCATTACATACCGATCTAGCGTGCGGGAAACGTCACTGTACCACGCCAGTTTCGTTTCCCACGGATCCGAGCCACTTCGGACATTTCCGGGGTCTTGCCGCACGGGTTTGGGAGCAATCGGAGATATTTCTCACGCCTTGAATTTTGACGTCTTGTCAGTGAATGTATTCGTGCTGTTTTGAGAATATGTACCCAAAAACTAACGGTCATAGAAAAAGTATGGTATGCAACACGTTCGGTAAACTTTTTAAGTCACTCGTTTATTAAACACTCGCTCCGCTGCGCTTCGCTCGTGTCAAATGAATTCGTGAATCAAATGCCGTTTACCGCATTTATCGCATAATCTAATATTATGCAACAAGTGCGGTAAACAGTATTTGAGTCACGAGTTTATTTGGCATGAGCGGAGCGCAGCGGAGTCTTGTATAGTATTGTTTGGTAAACGATTTGCCTACTATATTTTTTCTATGACCGTTAGTATTTGGGAATATTTTTGCAAAACAACATAACTACATTCACTGTGGCTCGGATCCGTGGGACAAGAAACTCACGTGGTAAAATAGTGCTTTCCGCATGCTAGATCGGTGTATAATTGGGTATTTTACAAAATGGATGACAAAAAAAATATGAAGATAACTTTGCGTCTTATAATATTTCTTTTTAAAATAGGTTTATAAAACAAACCCTCATAAATTTAACCAGTAAAATGGCAAAACATCATGCATAACAAACATCCCGAAAAAATTTTTTTGTAAAAGTTCACAATTGTATTGTAATTTTTAAAATGTCAATTAATTTATTATTTCTCTAATTTATTTTATTCCGAACTCGCGCCACTTCCAGCTTTTACTTTCCCATGCCAAAATTCGCAGTTATAAAAATTACCTTTGATAACGCCCCGTTAATTCCCCACGGTTACCATTCTCCTCAATGTCCCTGCTCAACGTTCTACTCGACAACAAACTAACCAATAACAATCCGTCCCCACCTGTCGCAGGAACGGGCGAAAGAAACACGTGCCGATGATATACCCTCGGACTGCAACACGTGTCCGATCGTATCAAACTCGGGGCAAAGCAAGAACACCGCTTTCGGGACCGTCCTGCTACCCGTGTGCAGGAAAGACTGATCTGCACGCTACGCCAACAGCGAAGATGAGCCCCGCGGAAGCTGCAGGAACGAGTGGGGGGCTTTCATTCATAACGGCTCCGTCCGTGGCACACTGGCTCAGTTAGGTGGACTCGCAGGATTTATTAGCAGGATTGGTTTTCGTTGGCAGGACTCGCACTTATTGCCTGATGCCCCGCATCGCTTAATGTCTTTCGATTTTTTTTTTGATCGATGGTGGAGGCGTGAAACGAACCTCGCGACATAGGGGCAGACTCTCCCTACCTCTTTATCCCGGGAGGTAAATTGATTTTGGGATTCTTGAGAGTTGGAGAGCGAGCGGCTTTATTTTAACAGTAAACTAATTTTGTAGGAGGAAGACAACGCCTTACCCACAGTTTCCTCAATAATATATGAGAATAGTTAAAAATACAGGGTGTTCAACCAGGACGCAGACGCACTTGTCCAAAAACACAAAATATCATAAGGGAAATTATATTGAAATGGACTAGTTCAACTTATTACTTTCAAATTATATGTATACCTTAAAAAGATAAATGCCATCTTCGAAGTAGTTTAAAGACCTCAATACTCAGATCAAATGTTCAACTCTCCTTTAACACCGGTGCATCTAATAATTGGAGAATTCGAAGAATAATAATTTCTCCAGAAGAAACGAAAATTCCTAGAAAATTACGTAGAGCTTTATAAACAACTACTATTCTCGAAAAAGTTCAACAGATAACAATTAAGGATTTCACTGTGGCTCTATTAAATACATAATTAAGAATTTTTTTAAAACAGTCTTAGCATATTCAGCTGATTCGGCACTGACCAGACTATAAAAAAACTACGCACCCGTTCATGGCCAATAGGCTGGCACAGAAATATAAAAGAGTTTAAGTTATTGAACACTTTAATTGATTCTTCAGGTCATTGTGAATAACATTATCGAAGTGCTTATCAAAAAGAAGCCTTGTGTAAAATTTAATACCGCTTCCGAAAATGTCAGTTTTTAGGTAGTGTTGCAATGTTGCAGTTTAGATAGTTAAAAAACAAATAAAATGATCACATTTTTCGGATATTTTATGGAGATATTTTATTTTTGTCAAAAATTATGTTTTCAAACCAAACAGTATCTTTACATTACTGTACATTACTGTTCTAGGTTTTAGACACTTCGTAATCAAAAACGAGACGATTTACAGAAACTATTGTACTAGAAGTGATAGTTTACCACGGTTTAAACGGTACATGTCAGAAACGTACCTTTTCTTAAATAAAATTGATTGATTTAAACTTGCTCGAACAATATTTTTTTGTAATAATTGCCAGCGTTTCAAACAAAATTGTTAAGGAAGCTGACGTTTTAAAAATGACAAGCTTGGCCAATGCATAATTGGGTATTTTAGAGTGTGGAGTAGAAAAAAAGGTATATCAGTATAGCAGCCACAATATCTGCTCATAAAAAGCATCCACAACTATAAGAGAAAAATAAGTAAACTCGAAAGAACAGGAAATATGAAATGCGAAAAATAACTTGCTAATCTTAGGTGGACGTATTAAACATATCATCTAAGATAATTTTCATGTTATTGAATATTTAATAAATTCGAAATACAATTATTTATTTGATAGCGATATTTACTTGATAGTTTAGGATGTTATTTGCAGTCTAACCAGTCATGATATTGTATGATTCCTTAAGGTACACCCTTAATGTAAAGTTAACGCCGTAGATAGAATTTCTTGTTAGTATTGGCTTACATAACAGCATTTAAAAAAAGTTTGTTTCGGTCGGACCCCCCTCCGTGTTCAAGATAGGTCTTGTAGTTTCCGAACGATGTGTGAAAACATGCTTTGTCATTGCAGGAAGACAATAGATTCGTGTGTCCACATGCTGTTTCACATTCGTTGAACTAATGAGGCATTATATCAGAGGCAATAAATAAAATGTGTACGTCATCTATCCATTCGAATTATACCAGGGGATGTTTGAAATTCGATTCTCACCATGCGGATCTCGGAAACGAAACAAAGACTATTTTTGTTCGTAAAATTATAACAATTTAAATCTCCTTCGCTAAAAATAGGCAGTCTGAACAAGAAAAATGTAGTCGCTTCGTCCACGAATAATATAAAAGATCCATTGAGATTACGAAACTGGAAAGTTGATGAAAGATGTGAGGCAGGAAGTAAGAAAATGTATTATTTCTACTCCCTTCTGTAAAATACTTAATTATACACCGATCTAGAGCGCGCAAAGTGTCATTTTACGACGTTAGTTTTTTTCACATGGGTCCGAGCCACTTCGGACATTTCCTGAATATTACCGAACGGGTTTGGGAGGAATCGGATGTTTTCGGAGATATTACAGTATGGTTCGAATTTTGACATTTTTCAATTCTAGAGGTCATCTCAGTGAATGTTGGTTTGCGAAAATGGACCCAAAAACTTAGAAATAGTATATTATGCAACACGTTTGGTAAACTTTTTAAGTCACTCGTTTATTAAGCACTCGTTCCGCTCGTGCCAAGTAAACTCGTGACCCAAATGCCGTTGTTTCATAATTTACCATAATTGCTTAATCTCTTTTCAGCTCTGACTAGTTTTGTTTTAATTGTTGTCAATCAATCAAACCGTTAATCAATTTCTTAGTCAAAATGTTTTGATCATATTCTACAAAAAATAACAAAACATGATTTAGCCTAAGAGGTATCTTCAAATGGCAATGTTTCATCAAAACCAAAAATTCCTTATATAATAAATAATAATTTCAGGCAAACGTCTATTTCACTTTTTTCTAAATGTGTTTATAAATTTTCAATGAAATCCTTCTCGTACCATATTTAACATTCGTCTTCGTCTTCCCCGTGGAACTCTGAGCATATCTCAAACGCACCTATTTATCCATTTACGTGATTCATTTACGACGCTTTTACTTACATTTAGGAGCGCTAAGGGTATATAACATTTTAAAATCCTGATTCAAGTTTGGATATTGAATTATTTGTTGTAGATTATTTTGCGCATTTTCAATTCAATTTGACATCTTATTTCTCACTCAGGGCTTTAGTCAAACTGTATAAGCCATAGTAAGTGTTATATTGTTGACAATGAACATACGCTTGTTGTCTAGTACTTTTTTGAGTTCACATTGCATAGGAGGGGCGGTGGAACACATTTTTGTGAAACAAAAGATGACGTTAACAAAATTTCCGTGACATGCCTAAGTTTTTAAATACAGGGTGATTTTGGAAATTTGATTTTTTCGGGCACCTCTCGTATCTCGGGTATACTATCAAATGTCTTAAAGGTGAAAAATGCATCCAATATAGGTTTTTATGTAGAATTCAGTGAGGTAGTCTTTTTCGGGGTTTCGTCTATTTGAAAAAAAAAATCTAAAATAGTTACCTTATTTATTCCGGACACTACTTACACAATAACTTTTATAATTTGCATGAAACAAGTTAGTTTAATATTAACATTTTATTTGTTACATTTCACATATCCATATATATTATTAAAAATGATAAACTAAAACGAGAACCTATTAAAGCAATTATTTAAAATAACAAGTAACAAAAGAAATATTAAATATTAGCATTTTTTGAAAATCTCAACATAATTATATTTTCTCTAACGCACAACCTACACATAGTTTAAATCCTTTCCAAAGCTTTCAGAATAACAAACTTTCAAAAGCTGCTTCCGCGGCTGCTCGGGGCTCTCCGATATTATTTTGGCTTCACAACAACAAAAAAACTTTTTTTTTCAAAAAGACGAAACCATTTATAAAAAAACCGACTACTCCACTAAGTTCTACGTAAAAATCTATATCGGATGCGCTTTTCACCTTTCCAACAAATCATAATATACCCGAAATACGAGGGGTGTCCCTAAACTTCTAATAACTAAACAAGTCAAGAAAATGTACTTCATCTTGCGTTTCACAAAATAGTACCAAAGGTTTGAGAAAACGCAAGGCTCTATCGGACATACTCCTCAGTCGCGACCAAAATGGGACACAGTGTACATCTTTGCTATCTATTCGTGACTGACGTAGAATTTAGATGAGTTTATTACAAACGGGATTCCCAATTATTTAAAGGCGCTTGTACTATTTTTTATAAGTTGTACTACTTCTAGCAATTCGCCGTTTAATTAGATTTGAGCAATCAAATTAGCAAGTCCTAAGTTCGTTCGAAAAGTTTCTTTTAAGGTATTTTTTATTTAGCTTCAGTAATAAACGGTTCTCACTTAATTAAAGGCACCTTTTAATTGCGAAGCATCTTTTAATCAAACCCATCGATATTCGTTGCGCCGTCTCTGTGTTTCTTTGTAGCTTGACTTTCTTAAAGCAGACGAAGTGGGTGGGAAAACGTATAAGCACTTCTCAGATATTTCCCCAAGGAACGGGGTAACTGGAACATCCAACTTGACTTAATTATGTCGCGTTCATGATTAAAACAAGCCTCCGCAGGCACAGAAGAAAACTCCCCAACGGCAACGGCGGAAAAATCCAGTTATTTTTCAAATTAAAATCCGACCAGGTAAAAAGAATTCCAAACGGGAGGCCAAATTACTTAAAGCAAATTCGATTCACTCGAAGCGGACCGCCAAGGACTTTTTGTTTTGTTTGTTGTAGAAAAACTTTCCACAAAAATTACATTCCCAACAAGTTAACTTCAAATGGCACATGAAATTGTAAAAAACTTGTACCTCTACGTTAGTCTAACTTCTAACTAACCAAAACTATAAAATTTAAATTATATATCTTGCTACCAAAGTGATCATTTGAAGCGTCCGCTGTAAGAAAAAGGGTAAAATTATGTACCCAAATTTGTTTCATAAGATTCATATTATCTTATAACCAAGTGTAAACCAACATTTAGGAGCCCATTCAGAGTCAAAGGAAACAATCTGGTTGGATCAAGGACCACTGAGAAATTAATTGGTACTTCAGAACACTAAAATCTCTGGTACACATTG